GGATGGATGGATGGATGGATGGATGGATGGATGATTTCATCTATAAATAAATCAACAGCCTTCCACCATTCCAGCCAATAAGCAAATAAGGTCGACTGAGTAGATGAATGATCCCTTTAAAGCTGAACAATAACAGAGTATCATGTGTAGCATAAAACAGTAAGCTAGCACACCTAAAAATAAATTAATTATAAATTCTCTGTTGTTGTTTTTTTCTCTGAGCATAAAAACTGTCTGTATTGTAAAAGAGTCACTTTCATCCAGACAGCACAGGAAGTTCATTCCAACCATGTAGAGTATAATGATTCATAATGCAGAAGATCACATATGTCCATAAACGGCTGCATAAAGGCTTGTGAGGTTTTGGAAGGATTGGAAGAGGCCATGTCTTCCAGCAGAGGAAAGAATTCAGACGGGCACTGGTTTCTAACCAGTGAGGATTTTTAGGGAGCTGATAGAAATGTTTTACATTTAAACGTCTTCCCCAAGACTTGACATTCAATATGATTTTAGCGATTCATTCTAGCATAATGCCGACATTTACCCTAACGGTGCTTCACACCATACCTCTAAACTAACTCCCTAACATTACATGATGCTTCTCTTTAGATCTCAATGTCCACAAATCCTGACAGAAACAATATTTTAGTACAAAGATTGACGTTTAAAAAGGAATTGCAGGGGACCAGCCAAGGACCCATCAAGGATGATGCATTAATGTCCTCACTGATGATATTCTATTCTATCATATTCTATTATGCTAATGTTCTTCTGCATTAACTCAGGTATGTTTTCACATTTTTGTCAAGTGAGCCTTTTTTCCAACTCTGAAACTGAATCGGCTTTAAATGGCTCTGTGTAGCTTCTAGGATATGGGAGTAACTTTACGTCTGCAGGTGTGTGTGTTCCCCTCTTCCGCGGGTCTCCAAGGCAGGTCGTTGTAGAAGTCGGCACAGCGCTCACAGTTTACTCCAGCTGTGTTATGTTTACAGTCACATGTAGGATTCACCTGCCAAAGGATACAGATAAAGATCTGGAATCAACAAAGAAGGATTTCCATGCACTAAGCTGCCTCCCAAAATTATAATATAGCCAAGCATTAACACCAACTGAGGATGAGGTTTATTCCTGTTAAAGGGGAGTTCTTCCTCTCCACTGTCGCTACAAGCATGCTTAGTGTGAGGGATTGCCTTAATGTCAGTGAATCGTTGCAATCAACTGGTTTTTCTTAGATAGAAAACTTGACTGTATGATCTGGCTGAACTGTAAAGTGACCTGAGATGACATGATGTGAATCGGAGCTAAAGAAATAAACTGAATTAAAAGATAACAATAATGTACAACTGTTGTCAGACCTGTATGGTGTTGGAGTTTGGGTTAACATATTCCTCTGGCAGGCACCGGTCCGCGTGTCCATGGCACATGCAGGTGCCCATCACTCTCATTTCCTTTAGGGCGAAGAACTTACTGAGGGATCTGCCCGGTAAACGAGG